TCTATAAACATTTTGGCAACCACTTTCTAAAGGAGAGAGTTCCTGTTTGAGATTTACATGGAGCACAAATTGGTAGAGATTTACAGGGCAGTTACAATTGAGTGCTTTTGGTTTGAAAGGGGGAATGGGTATTTTGTTTGAGTTTTTTAAACCAGCTCCTTTTCTCCCCTGCCCCCTTATTTCTCTTTAAAAGCAACAGCATTTGGGAAAGTTTGGTGGCTTTTTGTTTTCTGAGCAGTTACTGGAGAAGATTCCCTGTAATTCACCGCCCTTTCAATTTGTATGTCAGAGCAAAGTTAAGGTGTCCAGCAGCTGTGTGCTACAGCAGGCTCTGCTCGGTCTACCAGGGCTCCACAGATGGGCAGAAAGGAACACGGGAAGTCGTGGACTGAGAGTTTACATACGGATGTGTGGGTGTACACAAATATTCGGGGAGGCGATTCCAGTACTGCTATTTTCACAGACTCAACTCTATTTTCCTGTGCTCTTTGTATGTTTACTGAGATACATTTGTACATTTTCTTCTGTTTATTGGAGCCTTCTGGGCCCACGTGAAGACACTTCTGTTCCCTAGGGATTCTTCCTATAGCTCATCTCAGGCCAGTTTAAAAGATATTTTTATAACAAAAGTAACCCAAGATTACTGTAGAAATCTTAGGAAATATGCATGAGTGAAAAGTACATAAAAGCACATCTTACCATGCCGTTATTTATTACTCTTCTGGTTTTATGTGTGTGTATACATATACACACTCATGTATATTACAAAGATGAGATCATACATTTGCTTCATATTAGTATTTCCAATTCGCTATTGTTACACAATTCATTTATGTTTCTGTTCTTAACACAAGCTCACTCATGTCTCTCATTATGAGACTACTACCTGGTTTGGCCATTTAGAAAACCAACCTTTAAATGATATCCCTGTAGTCAGCCACTCAGTCTGGTTGTAAACATACAGGATCCTAAAGAGGACCCAACTCCAGATGGCCTGATAGTAAGAGGGGATACTTTCAAAATTGTATGGGAAGTTTAAAGATAGACTTGACAGGTATAATTGCGGATAGGTTCAGTCTCAGATGAAATCAATGTGGAAAAGAAAAAGGGAAATAACAGCTCAGCTCTGACAGTTTTTTTTTCAATCTGCAGCATTTGCTGTCTGTAAAATTCTGTTAAATTCTAGCCAGCAGTTTAGGAAGGAAAAGCTTAAGCGAATGTACAAAAGTGGGGCTGGCTGGTTTTTTTTTTTTTTTTTGAAGTGCTTTGTTTTCAATTTGTTTTATGGTCTGTAATAACAAGTGCCCATAGCAAAATGCAGTACCCTTTACTGGTGATGAAAGGCACTGTGAACTTCTTACACACAAATGCCAACTGGAGGACAGAACTGCCTCAAAACAACACTCTCCCCAATCACAGGTGCTCAGTAGTGTGTGCATTGTGCACACACTTGTCCCTTAGTGCCTACAGCCCCACGCGTGTTGATGTTTCCAGTTAGCGCAGTCCAAGCAAAGTGGGGCCACGGAGGCTGGTTCATGTACTCGGCCTCCCAGTGTGCAGTGTCCCAGCACAGGTACTTAGTCTGAATGGAAGCCTGCCTACTCCTTTATCCTCAGCAGTGTCTCCTTTAAGGCAGAACAAAAAGATCTCAGAGAAAAGAAGGAAGCTAGTGGCTTAGTCTGAGGGTAGGGGTAGAGAAAACACGGAAGTGGTCAAGGGCTCTGATGCACCGTAGCTTCTTGGGAATCTCCCTAAATTTTAAAGCAACCTTAGTGTCTGTCAAGTTTATCAGTGGATGAGCCTGGTACGTTAAAGCCCTTTGTGAGGTTTGTAACAGCTGAGTCTTGGGCCAGGTTTGTTTTCTTTTATGTGTTGTTTGCCCTTTGCCCTGGTCGGACCCATGTGAAACTTTTATCTTCTGAGTAAAGAATTACCCAGAGAGTTGAAATTGGCGTTGATTTTTAATTTATAAAGAAGTTATTACAAATATATATCAATATTAATTAAAACAATTTCATAGCCTGCTACATGTAGAAAATGAAATTTCATGATTGCATTTAGCATGTGGGCAGTAGCACTAGTTTCAGTGTTTAAGGTTCACTGATGATTAGGCTCTGAGTTTAAATTAAATAGTGTTACATTTTTCCTGTTTCCTAGACTGCACATGTGATCAATAGGAAATGTTTGCACGCATTAGCATTACCTAGCAAAAGAAATGCTGATGCCCATTTCCTTTTTTTCCCTTCTTCCCTGCTCTGCATTTTCTGCACTTGCACAGATAACGTGGAGGTGGACATGTCACTGTGTTGACCATGAGATCCATGACATCAATAATTAGCAATATGAATAATAACATGCAAATGCAACTTAGCTTTGATTTACAAAAGTGACATAAATTTAAAAAGCCAGCTCTCGCTTGTTATACTAAGACAATACTCTTCTCAGATTTACGTCTCCCTCATTAAAGCTACTTTGTAAGATTCTTCCACTGAACTCTTTTCCCTCTTCCTTTCCCCACTTCTTATCCTCCCTTCGTCACTATTGTTTATACTGTTTGTAATTTGGGGGAATTTTCTTCTTCTCTTGCATGTTTCAGTAAAGAAAGAACAAGAAAGAAAAAGAAAGAAAGAAAGAAAGAGGCAGCTCATTCTCAGACTGTCGCCAGTGATCCAAGTGACTTCTAGTGCTTACTGAGTCCTTTTTAGATGGCCATTGTCCAGGCCATATCTTCATCTGCAAAAGGAGGGCAATGGACTTTTAATGTACACGATCATGTTAATGCTAAATCCTGTGGTTTTGCTTAGTTTCATTGTCCTTATAAAACATTTTCCGAAATAGTTCCCTCAGCTTTCTTTCCTCTATTTCTTTAAATAAGGGAAAGGAAAGAAAAGAAAGATGGAAGGTAGAAAGAAAGGAAGATAAAAAGAAACCACCTAGTAAATGGTGAGTATATTTATCAATAAAAGTAGCAATGATGTTTTTGTTTTCTTAGGGAGCAAATATTTATATGAGAGAGAATTTTTTCTTTTATAACATGGTGACTGCTGGAATATACATGTTGCATGGGGAACTCAGGTACAATGAGTGTTAGTTTCTTTTCTGCTGCTATAACAAAATAAGTGAGGCTGGGTAATATACAAAGATAAGAAGTTTAGCTTATAGTTTTGGAGGCTGAAAGTCCAAGATCAGGTGGCCCCATTTTTAAAAGTTTCTGGTGAGAACCACTTTGTGCCATGTGGCAGATGGCATTGGGACAGAAATACCTGAGAGGGAGAGGCCACATGGAGAAGCAGAGAGCCAGAGGCATCCGGGGGCCGAGCTTGCTCTTTTTTTAACAGCCTATTGTGAAAATGAGCTCGTCTCACAAGATCTGTATTAGCTCCTTCTGAGGGCGATGCCACAGTGATAGAATTCCCTGTACTGCTGTAAAGCCCACAGCTTAAGTTTTCACCCCCTCTCAGCTGTCATCCTGGGATCCAAGACTGAACCACATGAAACTTGGGGGACATGCCCAGACCAAATCAAGCCATGGCACGTGGTTTGTCCCTCATATCAGTGCATGTCAAAAAATAATATGATTTAGGAGACAAGCAGGTTTGGGAGCCCTAGATCAGTGCTGGTGAATGCTTTAGAGCTTTCACTGATACGAACGGCTTGCTGTGTGGCATGTGTGGCATAGGTTTTACCACTGCTGGGCTAGATAAATGAAAATATTGGTCATAATAGGAGAGAACCCATTGAGCTTGAGCTTTATCTAGAGGTAAGTACTATTCGATCTACCTAAATAGAATGAAAACCTTTCTAATACAAAATAGCTTGAATCCTTGGAAAACGTATAACAAATCTATTTAAACACATAACTGAGCTCTAAGGAAGTAAAGACAATCAGCCCTAATCCAAAATGGAGGTGAATGGAGATGCTGAAAACCAGAGAAAGATGTACACACTGATGTTGTGAGTGCCCTAGAGATGGTCTTATTACCCAAAGTACATGTTCTTAATAGTAAAGCAAAGCAAACAAGCAAAAGAAACAGTATATGCAAGTTGAAAAACTTGAACTCAGATATGCTAAAATTTTATCTCTCAAAGTTTATACCTTGGGTACACCAGCACAAATTACAATACGTGTTTTTTCCTCATTGAGTTTATTGGTACATTTTAGGTATGCAACAGTTATATAGTTGAAAAACTTGAACTCAGATATGCTAAAATTTTATCTCTCAAAGTTTATACCTTGGGTACACCAGCACAAATTACAATACGTGTTTTTTCCTCATTGAGTTTATTGGTACATTTTAGGTATGCAGTACAGTTATATTCATCATTGATATCTTGTACCTTTACATGACAGGTCTTGGTTCTCATTTTTTCCCCTTGTCCCTGCCCTCCCTTCACCCCTCTTCCCCTCCCCCTTTACAAACAAATTGCAATACATTTAAGGGAGTTTAAATTACATAGAGTGTGCTCTCTAACCCCTAAAGAATAAAGTAGAAATAAACCACATAGAGATAATAGAACATTCTTTAAACATTTGGAAACTATGATTTTTCTAAATAATACATGGCCCAAAGAAACAGTCTAAAAAAATACATTGAACTGAATGAAAACAAAAGTACAACATAACAAAATTTGAGGGTTACAGCTAAGCCAGTGTTGAGAATGAAACTTACAGCTCTATTTCATACACCAGAAAACAGAAAGAGTTTCAAATCAATAATCTAAGCTCTCATGTGAAAAGCTAGGAAAAGAAGAGCAAAATGAACCCAAATCAAGCGGAAGGAAGAAGTACAACTAAGAGCAGAAATCAATGAAATTAAAAACAGAAAAACAATAGAAGAAAAATCAGTGAAATAAACACCTAGTTTCTTGATGAGATCAATAAAATCGATAGACTTCTAAGCAAGACTGACTGTATTAATCAAGATTCTGTGGAGAAATGGAAGCATTGAAATGGATATGGAGAAAAATAAATTAATTTATTAATAAACCCAAAGACTTACGGAGGCTGGCAACTCCAAATTTTGCAGAACACGTGAAAGACCTGTGGACGAGCCAATGTTGCAGTTACAGTCTGAAGGTGTCTCCAGGCAGAATTCCCTGTTTTAGTCCAGTCATTTTTGTTCCGTCCAGACCTCTATCCAATTGGGCAAAGTACACAAATGTTGTGAAGTACAATCCAGTCCATTCAAGCCCACCAGTTTAAATGTTAACTGCATTCCAAAACATCGCACAGAAATATCCAGCACAATGTTTGACCAGACATCGGGCACCATGGCCCAGCCAAGTTGACACATAATATTAATCATCATGTTGACCAAGGAAAACAAGAGAATAATACAAATGATAATAATTAGGAACAAAACAAAGGATGTCACTACAGACTCTCTATTAAAAAGAAATAAGCTTTAGCTCTCAAACCAGGTGGTTTCACTGGTGAATTTACCAAACATTTAAAGAATAGTTGAAATTAATTCTACACAGTCTGCTTCAGAAAATAGCAGAAAATGAACATTTCCCAATTCATTTAATGTAGCTGGTATTATCCAATATAAAAACCAGACAAAAACAAAACTTCTGAACAGTATCCTACATAAACAAGTTGTAAAAATTCTTAACAAAATATTAGTAAATGTAAGTACAGCACTATATAAAAATAATTATATACTTTGACAAATTAAATATGTTTCAGGGATGTAAGGCAATTTCAGTATTTGAAAATGAATCTGTGTAATGCAGCATACTAGCAGATTAAAAAAGAAAAGTCACATGATTGCATCAGTATAGCAAAGCATTTCAAAAAATTCAAAATTTATTTATGATTAAAACAGAGAAAAATAAATGAATTTTCTTAATTTGAAGAACATCTGTAAAAACATCAGAGCTAATGTTATTTTTCATGATAAAACACTATGTACTCTCACTTTAAATCAGTAATAAGGCAACTCTACTCGTACTAAACACAATATTGGAAGCTTTAGCCAGTACATTAAGAAAATCACATAAAAGCCATGCAGATCACAATGGAAAAAAAAAAAAAACCAAACTGTCCCAATTTACAGAGGACATATGGTCCATGTAGAAAATTTTAAGACACATACAAACACACACACACACAACCTAAAAAGCGCCCCCCCCAATAGTAGAAAAAAAAAACAACCAAACCTTTTAGGAGTAATAATTGAGTTCAGCAAGGTCATGAGATACAAGATAAATATATAAAAAAATCACTTTTTGCTGGGCATGGTGATGCACTCCTGTAATCCTAGCACACAGGAAGCTGAGGTAGGAGGATCATTATGAGTTTGAGGCCAGCCTGGGCTACATAGTGAGTTTAAGGCCAACCTGCACTACATAATGAGACCCTGTATCAAAAAAATTAAAAATCAATTTTTAATACTGTACATCAATATGTGAACACTTACAATGCTGTTAATATTGCTCAAAAATGAAATACTTCAGTGTAGGTCTAATAAAACTTGTTCAAGATGTGTATGTTGAAAGGTCCATCATGCTATGAAAGATTTATATAGAAGCAGTGTGTTCATGGATTAAAAGACACAACCACATTATAAAAATGTCAGTTCTCTCCAATTTGATTAACAGCTTTTATGCAAATTTTATCAAAATCTTGGTAATATTTTTGTAGATATGCTCAAAATAATTCTAAACGTTATCTGGAAAGGGAAATGAATGACAATCTAACAACTTCAAAAAATAATGGAATGTGAGGAATCCATCTTTCCAATTTTAAGATTTCCATAGTTCTAAGAATTCTTATTATGTGATATTGGCAGAAGAAAGGACAGATAAATTCTTGGAATAAAATGGAGAACCCAGAATTATTTCCACACAAACATGCTCAATTGACCTTTGACAGAGTGCAAATCAATTTAATAGAGTTAATGTCGAATTTCAACAAATTTGGAACAATTGAACATTCATGGATAAAGAAAATAAATCCTCAACCTAAGAGTCTCACCTAGTAGAAAAATTGAAATAAATCACAGAGACTTATGTGGAAAACATAAAACTACGAACTTTCAGAATAAATTTATGAGAAAATTTTCAGGATCTGAACTAGGCAAATGTTATTAGATTTGACATCAAAGCAAAAATTAATAAATTGGACTATATCAAAACTTTTGCTCTGTGAAACCCCCTGATGATAAGGTGAAAAGACAAGCTACACAGTGGTAGAAAACCACATATGCGACAAAGGACTGTATCTAGGTTATGCAAAGAATTATCAAATTCAGTAGTGAAAATAAGCAAACAATCCAATTAGCACCATGGACAAAAGATATAAATAATCATCTTTCCAAAGAAATACAGATGGCAAATAAGCAAATGAGAAGACGGCTAACATCAGTACATGATAGGAGAATTCATATTAAGAACAACAGTGGCACACATTACTTTAGAATCATCAGAATGGAAAAATGTTTAACTCTGGGTTAAAGGGTAGAGATGGGAACCGAGTATTATAATTGGTAATTATAGGATTTTTTTTTTTTTACTGTATGCCTTTTCCTCAGCATACTTGCAGGAAATTGTATAAATCATGTTTATATCTTGATGAATTATCCCAAAATAGACCTAGCTATGTGGATACCACTCAGATCAAGAGGTAGGCTGTGACTAGATCTCAGAAGTTCTTTTAACACCTTCTTTTTTCATTACTTTTTTTATTCCCCCCAAGTAACTACCACTTTCAATTTAAGCTCTATAATATTAATTGTTTTTTGTCTTCAAATGTTGTAAAGATGGATGGAATCATACAGAAATCATTCTTTGTGTCTGCCTATTGCAACTGAACATTACGTTTATGAGATTCATCTCTTACTGTGCATGTAACAATAATTTGTTTTTTAAAAATTACTATTCACCATCCTATTGTACAACTCACAATGTATCCATAATACACTTTATGAATATTTGTTTTCACATTTTAACCATTGTGAATAATGCTGCTATATTTTTCCTTGATCTTTGGTGAACATGGGTCCACATTTTTCTTAGAGCAAAATTGCTAATCCAAAAGGAATATGTACAGTATTAGCAGCTTTAATAACTTTAATGTAACTTACCAAGTTTTCTGTTAGTATCACTTTTATTCTTTCACCAGTAGTATATGAGAGCTCCTGCTGATTCACAAGAATATTTGATGTTGATATCAATCTTAACTTTACTTATTTCTTTTTCTTTTGTTTAGTTTTTTTGAGACAGGGTCTCACTATGTAGTTGAGAAGGAACAGGAACTCACTATGTAGTCCAGGCTGGTCTCAAACTCACAGTGTTCCTCCTGCCTCAGCCTCCCGAGTGCTGGGATTACAGGTGTGTGCCACCATGCCTAGCTTTACTTATTTCATAGAGTATCCTAGAGCTATAAAGTTATGATTTTAATTTTAATTTTTCAAATTACTAATAATGTGGAGCGGCATTTTACCTGTTTAGTACAATTTTTATTATTTTCTCAAATGTCTGTTCAAATCTTTTGGCAATTGAAATTACTATTACTGGTTTTTCTGAGTTCAGCATCAAGCCTTTTTCCATTAAGATTGTTGTGTCTTTGGATTTGGAATCAAGGTAATGTTTACCTCATAAAACGAGTTTCAAAGTTTTCCCTCCCCTTCAGCTTTTTTTTAGAAGAGTTTGAGGTACATTAGCATTCATTTTTTCTTACAGTGTTTGGTAGAATTTACCAGTGAAGTCATTTGGCCCTGAGGTTTCTATCTGGGAGGAGGCTGGGATGTTTTCAATTACTAACTTGGTTTCCTTACTGTTTATGTGTTGTCCATATTTTCTACTTCTTTGATTCAGTTTTCGTAGGTTTCTGGGTTTTTATGGAGTTGTCCATTTTTCTAGGTTATCCAATTTGTTGGCATGTAACTGTTACTGGTACTCAGTTCAATTCTTTTAAATTTTTGTTTCCATCAGTTACAAAATATGCTCTTTCATTTAAGATTTTATTTATTTCAGTCTTCTCATTTTTGTTAGAGTAGCTGAAGGCCTGCCCATTTTGTGTATAACAATGTTTTGTTGTCTTTCCCTAGTTTTTTGTTCATGTTGAGCATTTTTCATACACTGGTTGTTGGCCATTTGTGTTTTCTTTTGAGAAATGTCTGTTTAGTAATGTTATCTATTTTAAATCAAATTTGTATTATTGCTCTTTTGCCAGTGAGTTTTCAGTTTCTCGTATATTCTGGATGATAACCCTTTACCAGGTGTATAATTTTAGAAACATTTTCTCACATTCAGTAAAATCTTTCTTCACTCTGTTGATTATTTCTTTTGCTATGCAAAATCTTTTGAGTTTGATATAATCCCACTTGTCTATTTTGGCTTTTCTTTCTTGTACTTTTGGAGTCATATCCAAAAAATCTTGGCACATTTTAACATCCTGAACAATTTCCTCTGTGTTTTCTCGTAGTAGTGTAATTTATTTCATTCTTTCATTTGATCCATTTTAAGTTGATTTTTGTATATGGGGATTCTCTTGCCTGTGCTTATTCAATTTTCCCAGAACTACTTACGAAAGGGATTGTTCTGTTCTCAATGCACATTCTTAGAATGTGTATTAAGTATTAGTTTACTATAGATGGATGGATTTGTTTTTAGCCTCTCTATTTTGTTCTAGTGATCTGTGTACGTTTTGTTATGCCAGTTTCATGCTGTTTTGAATATTATAGCTTTCTAGTGTATTTTAAAGTTAGGTAATATTATACTTCCAGCTTTAGATTTTTAAAAATTTTCATCACAATTGTTTTGCTTTTTGCTTTTTTTGTCATTCCATATGAATTTTATATATTTCTAGTTCTGTGAATGTCATTGGCATTTTATATATTGAATCTGTAGATGGCTTTACTTAGTATAGAAATTTTGACACTACTGATTTTTCTGATTTAGAATGACTTTATTTTTATTTTTTTCAGGAAAATTCCTTTATGTTCAGGCCAATTTTCTAGTTTTAAAGTTGTATGCCCTATTTCTTTTTGTTGTTGTTTAATTTTAGAAAGTGAATCTCCTGTCACTATTATTTTTTCCTTTTGTTTAAAATTGATTTTATTGAGCCGACCTTGGTGGCACATGCCTGTATTCCCAGCACTTCGGAGGCTGAGGCAGGAGG